AACCTTTATGTATCGACTCATACTGAGTTGATTTTGATTTCCAGGAGAAAGAAATGATATGTATAAATGCATAAGTACATGTGTCGATACAAGACACGAGCCAATGCATAAGTGCATGCGTCAATGCATAAATTTTTCGTATCAATGCGTAAGTGCATGTGTCAATACATAAAAGTTTTTTTTAAACAATTTTTTTTACATTATCTTTATATTCCTTTATATTTTTATTGTTATTCATTATTAAATATGGTTGTAATAGTAATTAGGTTTTAATTTCTTTCATTCCCCATTTGTAAATTTGTATCCCCTATCCTCTAAAGTATTGTAATAGCGTAGAACATTTAATTTCCTCAATTTATCACTTTCCATATTATTTTTAATAATTAGAGTGTGTATGGCAAGATAAAATCAATCTAAGAGAACCCTAATCTCAAGACAAAAATGCATGAAAACAAACACTTTGCACACTTTCACCTTTAGGGTTAACCTCACTTGTTGCCTTGAGAAAAATAGTCATGTCCCTCGAATGTGGGATACTTTAGCCAAGACCCTCGAATACAAGATCGTAGTCCCTCAATGACCCTTTGATGTTGCCTTCGATAAAACGATCTTAGACCCTTACGATAAATTGCTAAGGTATCCTACAATGTTTCCTTCTATGACTATACGATGACCCACACTTGTCCCTTCACATCCAATGATAGAGCTTCTTATGAATCAATGTTAAGATAGCAATATATAAATGAGGAGGAAATGAACAAAGAATTTTTGTGTAGGTAGAACGCTCGTAGTTGCTTGCTCACAACATTTCAAAACATCTTTCAAATACACCAACACTTTTCCACGAAATATTTTCAAAAGTCAACACTTTGTATGCATTATTATAGAGACGAGAATCATTACAAAGTTCGCCTAAACGAAGGCACTTTTCAAAAATACTTTCAAAACATCACAAACACATTTCAAACAAAGCCTTTTAAAGTGAGCTAGCAACTAAGAACCCGTAGATAAATATGAATGAAAAGGGTGCTAACACCTTCCTTTTTCATAACCTACCCCCTGAACTCAAGAAAATTCTCAAAAGTTCTTTCCTGTTCTTTTCACCCTTTCCTTTATTGGATAAAATAAAAGTTGGTGGCGACTCTTGTTATCCGCAACAATTACGATAAAACGTAAAACACCCAAGTCAGTTCTCCCACCATATCACACCATGTCTTAAATTTGGTGGTAATTCTACCAATCCTAAAGTAGACACCCTATGAGTTACTCAAAGGCAGGAAATCCAACATTTCCTATTTTCGGTTGCAAATACTTTATTTTAAATAACATAAAGGACAATATTGGTAAATTTGATGGTAAGTCTGATGAAGGGATATTTTCAGGGTACTCATCTTCAAGTAAATCCTAAAGAGTTTACAATCAAAGAACATATTATTTTGAAGAGTCAATTCATGCTGCTTTTAATTAATCTTCACTCTAAAATACGGGGAGAGATATATGTTCTGGTGTTTCAAGTGTGATGATGGAGAACATGATAGATGACAACATTCACAAAGTAGATCCTCCTCCAACAACAACCGAAGAGGACATTAATGAAGAAAAAGATAAAATAGAACAAGAGGAAGATAAAAAAGAGATCTTTCCTCAGCTTTCTCCATATTGGATTGTAGCAAAAGATCACTCGTTGAATCAAGTACTAGGTGACATCAGAAAAGGTGTAAGTACGATATCCCAGGTTAACAATTTATGTAAGTATTCTGGTTTCATATCCCAAATTAAACTTTAAATGATATCAAATTCTTTACTTGATGAGGTATGGTTATTTGCTATGCAAGAAGAGCTCATTCAATTTAAACAAAATGACATTTGGGACCTTCTTCCACGTCCATCTGATAAAACCTTCATTGTCACTAATGTTTAAGAACAAACTGGATGAAAATGGGATAATTACTGGAAATAAAGATAGGCTAATGTAAAAAAGGTATAGTCACGCTGAAGGAATTGACTATGATAAGATTTATGCTCTGGTAGCTCATCTTGAAACTATTAGACTCCCTTTGGCATTCTCCTACTGCCTGGATTTTAAATTGTATCAAATGGATGTTAAATCAAATTTTCTTAACGCCTATATAAACAAAGAAGTCTATGTATATAAACCTCCTAGTTTTGAGGACCCAAAAATTTGGACTATGTTTTCCAACTTAAAAGAGCCCTCAAATGTCTCAAATAAGCTCCTAGAACATGGTATGAGCGCTTTAGTGGATTTTTAATCAAACAATGATTTAATCATAGAAAAGTGGACATAACTTTGTTTATTATACGTAAAGAAAAGCATGTTCTTTTAATTCAAATTTACGTCGATGATATTATATTGGAGTCTACTGATAAATCCCTTTGCAAGGATATTGCTAATATGACGTAGGGTAAATTTGAAATTTCTATGATGGGCGATCTTACTTGCTTCTTAGGATTTAAAATCGAACAATCAGATGATAGAACTTTCATAAGTCAAACAAGTATTGTTTGGAACTTTTAAAGAACTTCAATATGCAAAATTCGAAGAGCATTCCAACCCCCATGGCGTCAAATGTGATGATAGACAAACATGATAATGGCGTAGAGATTGACATTACCAAATATAGAGGTATAGTAAGATCTTTACTCTATTTAACCATGAGTAGACCATATATTATGTTTAGTATGTGTATGTATCTTAGGAAGCCTCGCATCACAGTTTTTGGTTTCCAAAGGTAGTAAATATAACTAAGTAGATTTTTTCGATTTTGATTTTGCTGGTTGTAAGTCTGATAGGAAAAGAATTAGTGGTACTTTTCATTTGTTTGAAAATTGTTTGGTTTCTTGGAATAATAAAAAGTGGCACAACGTTGCTCTTTCTATCGTCGAGGCTAAATATGTAGTCGTTGGTAATTGTTGTGCACAAGTCTTATGACTAAATCAATAATTATTGGATTACAATTTAAAACTCGGTTGCATTTAAACATATAGAAATCCAGAATCATTTCCTAAGGGATCATGTTGAGAAAAGGGGATGTTATTTTTTATATGTGGATATGAAAAATCAGCTTGTTGATATCTTTATAAAATTATTATCCACTGAACCTTTTCAGAAGATAAGTAGGAAATTGTGAATCTTGGATTCTTCGTATTTTAAATAGATTTGGATTCATATTTCATTTCATTTACTATTTGTATTATGTTGTACACTAACATTTTCTTGTAGATTTCCACTCATGAATACACGTCAACTCGAGTGCACTCAAATACTCAATAAATTGTGTTATACCCTAGCTGGTTATATCACCGCTCGTATCAGGAATGAGTGACAATGTTTCATCGATGGGACCATATTAAATGTGCTTGCTCCCTATTACTTTTTCAAAAAATTATTCCTAAGTGATTCAATTCTATTTCACATCGAATCATGATATGAAGGTCGGTCAATGATACTTAAGGCTTCCCCCAACTCTTCCAGTGTTTGGAAAAATCTTGGGGGAACTGTTCTGGACCAGCCAAAAGGTTCAATTGACCAAGGCTCAATCCATCTCAAATTCACTCCACTCGATCCAAAGTATAAAAATAGTTGACATACGAATAATATGGTACAATCTCTGATCTTCAATTTCATTATATTCACCTTGAATCTTGAACTGACTTGGACGTTAAAGTACTAACCATGCAGGTCCACCTCATGCTACCATAAAAGAGATCAGAGCCACCGTTGAAGATCACCAGTTATTCAATTTTCTTCATCTTTGGTTCCTACGTGGAGCTAGCTAGAACATCCATTTCTGATTCTCGAATGAACAATAACCAAATTATTTTCTACAATTCTAGAATAAGCAAAGTTAGTAGCGAGTATTCAAATTCTCTTATCAAGTTCAGCAGTTGCATGCTCCAAATTCTCTCATCTCATGCGTATTCTTTCTTCAAATAGTCACAAATTATTTTTGGTGTTTGAGGGTCATGACTAATAAAAATTATTTCTGAAACACCAGAAAAAAAAGACATGATCTTGCATTTACCATAGTTTTTCTTGTGATATTTTATCTGGGCCATATTAAGATTATTCGGCAGTAAAAGAACTTCATAATTCTCTTATAGAACTTATCAAGTCTAAAGCTTTAAGTTATTCTTACACCCAAAGATCATAGTGTCCCCATCAAAAAGAGGAGGAGCAACTTTTAAAAAATTTGATTTTGTATCCCTCCTCAAGAAGAGAGCTCTAAATATCAATTGTAAATTTTTGTTTTGAATAAGAAAAAGAAAATAATAAAAAAATTGCATAAAGTATTGCTGTAGAGCTTTCTTCCCTTTTTTTTTTAATTTAATTAAAAACTAATATTTAATAACTAAGTAGAATACCATACTCTATGATTCTAACAAGTAAGCCAAACAAATTAGAAAACTTATTTATTAACAATAAAATAATAGATATTATTGCTCGACTTATTCAAACTAAAAGACGCAACATCCAAAACCACATTTCAATACAAATATATGTGAATGTGGTATATTGCCAAATAGAAAATAGTTTAAATGATAGAGAGGGAGATAAAAAAACTTCTATATTTAAAAGGTACATACTCAATTATGTAAAAGGTACATACTAAAAATTATGTAAAAATAAGTTGATTTTTAAAAGGTACATACTAAATCATGTAAAAATTAATTTATAATTTATTTTTGAATCAAAATGAGTAAAAGAAGAAGACTTCATGTGCTTATGTGGTACATTACATAAGCATCTATTTTTCAAATAAAACTTATTTTAGTAACAGTTTGTGAAAATGATAATAAATTTATTTTTAATAGGATGCTTTAATCATCAAAAACCTCAAATATGATATAAATAGAGGTAACTATGTTGTTACTATATCCAAATTTGTGAGGAAAAGATGAATGAGATAACAAAGGATAATATGTTAAACCAGTTGAATTTCACAATTCTGTTGGCAATATTCAGAACCAAGTTATGAAAAGAAACCAAGAATAATTTTGTATTTGAAGGAAAAACTAATAAATTAAAATGCATCAACCCAATTATCTGCTTATACAATACCAAACCTGAACTAGAAAAATCACTCACTGAAATGGAGTGCAGGCAGGCACAAATCGGCAAGAACGCGTTAGGAGCAATATCAGCTATCAGACAGAAAATAAAACTGATGCCTTCCACCCTTTTCTTATTATTGAGAGAAAAAAATGCATATGATTTTAGTCAAAGAATATACAAAAACACTAAAACAAATTTTACAAGACCCTTCTATATAATCTGTGGTTTTTCATGAAAAAATATAAGCTCTTTCTTTTGCGCCGAGCACAAGAGGCTGGCTTCGACCTCCTATTCTATAAACAAAAATGAATGGTTTATTTTAACCTTTTAACAGGCTTCCTTTTTTTATTGCCAACTTAAGGAGAGCTGGCATTTTTGGCATTCTCTGCAGCATTATCATCAATGGCTAAATCGGATACCTCGTTGACTAAATCTGTTTCATGTTCACCGTCTGCTGAAGCTACGGGCGATGCCGCCTCTGGGGTGATGTTTTCTTCAGAATGCTGCAGACTCCAGTACATGATGCTAGCAGATAAAGTAAGTATCATCTTCTGGTTTACCTGTCAAGGTTAATTGCAAAATAAGCTAACAAATTTCTCAGCCTATTAACAAGAGTTTAAAGTATGGTATAATCTTAGGTAAGCATCAACATTCTATGTACACTAGTGTTTTATGGGATCCACAAGATTTCGTGGGATCCATATGAATTTTTAATCTGTAAAAGAAAGTGTCTAAGTGTGTTGCTACCACTCTTCAACTGAACAAAATCAACGTTGATTTCACATGGAACACGGAAAAATTACATATACTATTGTTGACAATTACCTCTATAATGTCCTCGGGTAACAGGAAAATGGAGCATCCAAGTTTTCGGGCGACACTGATGATATATGTTGAATTCAACTTCTTATCATCATCTGCGATTTGTCCAACAGATATACATTTGAACATTTCAATTGTTGTTTGTAAGATGACATATTCACATCACATCAATGTTAAACTAAATGCTTGATAAGAAATTAAATAGTTTCAAGTTGAATGCAAAGCTGACATACCAGTTTCTCCTTTAGTAACTAGACTCCAGTTGACCACTCTTGGCTCTACAGCACTCAAAAGCTCAAGGAAGAAAATACCGTTGGAAAGATTTTTATCCTGATGAAATAAAATAAATTAACAAATCTTAAAAATATGTAGTAGTAGTCCAAACATAAAAGATCTGGTTATTTTCTGTTTTATTACCTTGAAACTCTCCATTTGAGACGTTCTTCCGGCTTTCTTCACTTTGTTGTTTGCCCAGTTCAATATATCAGCATCCGTAATCTCTTTACCTTGCGAGTGTGATCTCAAGTTTCTCAGAAGTTGAAGCATGGTAAATCTCATAAGCTGCCACAAAAATGCTGTCGGACAAACAGAGATGAACGTTCTTGTTAGACACTCCTATGCTATCAAACATATTGACATCACCAACAATACAAATCTATCATAAAGCTGAAAATCATTGGAACTAACCTAGTAAGAGCTTCTTATTCCCTTGTACAATATCGTTACCAGCAACATTTACTAAGGAAAAGTTAAGGTCCTTCCCAATTTTTATAACTTGGTTGCAATTCTCCACTTTTCGAAATGGCATTTTTATAGGAGGCTTTGTTGCCTGCTTCCAATTGACAGATCCAGGTGAAACCTTATCAAGAACTTCTAATAGAACCCATCTGTGGAAAAGGAAATAAAGAAAACCATAACCAGTAGTTAGGTTAAGGAAAATTTTCAAGTACTCCGTGTAGATGACAGATGAAGAACCAACTGAATAGTGGAAAGGCTACCCATTTCTGACATCCTCGAAAACATTATTGACGTAAGTAACAATTCCAAGACTGTTAATCCAGAGTCTGAAGCATCTTTCTTCCCGAGATGTCTGTGCATCATCAGTCATCATCTCAGCAAAGGACATTTTCGATGTGTCAACTGTAAGGCCATTCCTACACAAGTGAAAGTACCGCAGATTTTAGAATTTATAAGAATGAAAGTTACAATTTTCAAGCTAAAGCTCCATCCTCCAAACTTTTTCTAACTATAACTTTACTATTCCTACATACTTGTTCCTAACAATTGAATCAACTTCGCCGTCATGGTGTCATCTTTCCAAAAGGGAAAGTCTTAGTCTAGTGGAAAGAATTGTCAGAAAGAACAATATTTCTAATTTCGTAAGATCTAAATGAACCTGATATTCAGAAGTCAGAAGCCTATTAAAAAAAATTAAAGGAGCCAATCTTTTCACAATAAAAAAGGTAAAGAAAAAAACACGGGTTCTTGGAAGCGTGCCCCAGAAAATTCTTTATGTATGACTTTGCAACAAAGCGAATAGCAGAATTTGCAAAATCTTTAGAGTAACCCATACCTATGCTGGAATATTTGAGCAACAAATGCAAGATTAAGGTTAGGTGACCCCTCCAATATGTCCTTTGGAGTGAGGTATCTCTTGCAATCTAGCCTCTCTGCCTGCTCAAGAACCATATTTGCTCTTTCTGTAGGATCTTTTGTGGCCAAGGCACCTGGGCCTGCAACTTCCGGAGCAAGAGCATTAAGCAAGTAAGCATAAGCCTCTCCATCCTGCAAAATAGAAAGCATTAAAAATAAAATAGACCCGTGGCAGCTTATAACCATGTCGTATCTGTTTACATCTATCAAACATCTGCTATGTGAGGAAAATGTGTCACACAATGATTCAGTAATCAGCAGGATGTAGGACAATACAGTGAATTTATTCCTAGAAAACTACTGAACGCTGTCAAGGACAAATGAGCATAAGGTGGTCCACAGTTTCTTCACTGATTAAGATCAGAACAAAAGGGGTTCATAAGGAGTACTACAATACTGGTTCATTAATTTTTATAACCTTATTATACCTCCTTAATTTCTTTCTACAGTTTATCACTCTAGAGGAGCCAAATCCCAAAGTAGTTTGAAAGCGAAAAACGAGATTTTTATCATTTTGAAAAAGCGAAAAACGAGAAAGCAAGTAAAGGAACTTGGGTATAGTCTACACAGTACACACACAAGTATATTTACATGATACTGTAACGACATATTTTTATCATTTTTAACAGCTTCTATTAGAGTAAGTAAACATACAATAAGAAATAGAATTTCCCTCACCTTTACATCAGAAGAGAAATTTGTAACTTGTTTCTCATATCCAGCTTTCTTCAAGTGGAAATTCATCCATTTCAATAAAACCTTGTCAGGTGGTAAGCTGATAAGCTCTTCCACATCCTGTCATTTTGTCATAACGTAATGAAGAGGTTTAATTTAATTGTAGTTCTGACAAATGTAAAGGAAAGAATATTATGGGACTTGCAAATTACAAATAGCAGGAACAATCTTAGCTAATATCACCTTATCATCTTCCACTAATTCCAAGAGTTGAGGAGTTTTCTTCAGATTCAGATCGGCTAACAATTGAATCTAATGTTGCCACATACGGAAAAACAGAAAAAACACAAGACACCATAAGTTTAAAAGTCTTTCCAGTGAATAATAAAAATCAGAAAGGTGTCAATCCCTCCTCTTAGCTCCATACTATGCAAGTAAAAAGGGAGTAGATTTCAGTAGTATACCTTGATTATTTGTGAAATCAGACCAAGTATCAAATAAGGCTACAAATAAACAAACAAGAAAATGTTCATAATTGAAGTGTTATAATTTTTCAAAGTTCAGACAATTAAAATCGCAAAAAAATGGGGATAGGGGACAATAAGAAGATTGAACCTACTCTTCCTTCAACCATATCCTGAGTACCAATATTAACCACTGTGCACCCAATAGCCTTTGCTGAATTGAGGCCAAGGGTGTGATTTTCATTTCTCTCCCATGGATTAAGATCCCGTTTTGTATTAATAGCTCGCTCATCTATGGTCCCAGGAACAGCAATATTAATAAGCTTGCTGCAGCATAAAAAAATCAATAAAATAGGAGAGCAAAAATATTATAGTCTTTAAAAAAAATTGATCTCATGTTTTGCGCCAATCAATTACCAGAGCAGAACTCCATCTTTAGCTAGATCAAACAGTGCATTTGCTGATGGATCAATTGGAAGAAACTGCTTCATGAATTTATCTTCAGCCAAGTAACTGTTAATATGTGCAACATAAGAAGCCTTCTCAGATTCATTAATTGAATGATGAACAGTCGTCGTGGCTGTCTTCAAAAATGAAGAAGAACTTTTTGAACCACCGTCTTTTGCTATAGCTCGAGTTTGCAAATTTAAATGTGCCTACCACACAATGCCAATAAATAAGTGCCGGGTTCAATATAGATAATACTTATAAAATACTTGCAAATAAACTGAATATATTTTCCCACTCAGACATTCAAAACAAAAACAAAAGTATAAATTCATGTTAGATGCATACATGCTAAGACCCTAGAGACAAATTGAGCATCAAACGACATTCTTGTATGCTCTTGTGGAAAATTGCACTCATTTACTATGGGGAATTCTTAAATAACGCTCACACCCCGTCTGTTTTTCCAATTAACAAAAGCCATTCTTATTTGTTGGAAAAATTGACACAAACCTCCCCTCAGTCTGGCTTAAATGAAACACATACACACCCTCTATTTTTACATAATAGTTGGGAGATTCGGGCAATTGCGTGAGATGTCAATGTCTTTTCCTAACTCAAGGTAGTAGATGTATCATTTAAGCATACCTTAGGGAGATGAGTGCAATTGATCCATTATCATACTATTTCTTCTAAGAAATCAACAAACACACATATTCCAAGACAGAAGAATCATATAAGAAGAAAAAAATAGGAACAGAAACCTAAAGCTTTAACTTTTGAAGAACATCAAAGAAAGAATCAATAAAGACTCACCCTAAGGAAGGACTCAAAGTCAATTTCATCATCCATATTCTGATATGACTCCCCCAATACATCCTTAATTTCATCCTCGGTAAAAAGCTCAGCGAAAGCCTTCAATTTCTTGAAAACAGATGGCAAATCTCCCACAGTAACACGTCCCGATAGAGTTCTTTGAGATACATACTACAAAAACAACACAAACACATTCCAAATTACACAATTTTACAATCAGACACATACATCTAGATTCTTATCAATAATCAAGAAAACAAAAAAAAAACTCACTTTTGATTTGAGGGTACGAAGTTCGACTTGGGTGAACTGGCTCTGAAGCCATTGATCAGAAACAAGGACACCCACAAAACTAGAC